GCAGTTTACCCCCCCCCCCCCCGCTTTTGAAATGCTGAAAGTACAGGTCCCCTAATAGAAGTAAATCTGAGCAAGTCCCTGGACTTGGACCGTTAACATGGAACCCCGGCCAAAACTTTTTAGTTGTTTGGGTAGAGTGAGTAAGGTTTAGAACCTCTGTTTGCACCCATGTTGGGAAAGATTTCTTCTCTTCCTGTCCTGATGACTGTGGTCACTGGGACGGGAAATGTGGAGCAATTTCCACAACAGGGACGGACCTTAAAAAATACAAATTCTCAAAAATCCTTTCCTACCCTACCTGAAGGAAAAAAAAAAGGTTTGGGCTGGAATTACTCTCAAAATCAACACAGTTTTGATCTTGTTATTTTGCTCTTCAGAATTTAGTGGACACAATCTAATATCAAGAACCATGGCATGAAGAAAATCAGAGGGATCGTCTATGTGTTCTCTAATTCGATGAACACCTTCCACATATGTAATTAGGGTGAAGCACCATTACATTGATTCCCCTCATGGCGCTGAAAAGGATGGGGCCTCTTTTTAGACCTTTAACTAAGAACATTTTATTCAAAGCCTGCAGCACTCAAAGATGAATTAAAGTATGACACATTCTATCATTCTAGATTGCAGTAATATATAGACTACATTAAAATGAGAATTAAAGTCTTTCATTAAAACTGAACTCCAGGCTAAACAAATATAGTCGGTGTATATTCTTAATCCAATCCTGGCATCCTTGTTTTATTTCTTGCAGATTTGTGCAGTAATCCAGAATGAAACAGCTCTTGCATTTTGCTTCTATGCAGTAGATTCCATTAATAAAGACCGGTCACTGCTGTTCTCTCTCCTTGTGCAGGGTGACTGGTCTTGTCTCCGCCCCCTCCTGTAATAAAGACCGGTCGCTGCTGTCCTCTCTCATTGTGCAGGGTGACTAGTCTCGTCTCCACCCCTTCCTGTAATAAAGACCGGACACTGCTGTCCTCCCTCCTTGTGCAGGATGACTGGTCTCGTCTCCACCCCCTCCTGTAATAAAGACCGGTCACTGCTGTTCTCTCTCCTTGTGCAGGGTGACTGGTCTCGTCTCCACCCCCTCCTGTAATAAAGACCGGTCACTGCTGTTCTCTCTCCTTGTGCACGGTGACTGGTCTCGTCTCCACCCCCTCCTGTAATAAAGACCGGTCACTCCTGTCCTCCCTCCTTGTGCAGGATGACTGGTTTCGTCTCCACCCCCTCCTGTAATTAAGACTAGTCACTGCTGCCCTCTCCCCTTGTGCACTGTGACTGGTCTCGTCTCCGCCCCCTCCTGTAATAAAGACCGGTCGCTGCTGTCCTCTCTCATTGTGCAGGGTGACTAGTCTCGTCTCCACCCCCTCCTGTAATAAAGACCGGTCACTGCTGTCCTCCCTCCTTGTGCAGGATGACTGGTCTCGTCTCCAATCTAATATCAAGAACCATGGCATGAAGAAAATCAGAGGGATCGTCTATGTGTTCTCTAATTCGATGAACACCTTCCACATATGTAATTAGGGTGAAGCACCATTACATTGATTCCCCTCATGGCGCTGAAAAGGATGGGGCCTCTTTTTAGACCTTTAACTAAGAACATTTTATTCAAAGCCTGCAGCACTCAAAGATGAATTAAAGTATGACACATTCTATCATTCTAGATTGCAGTAATATATAGACTACATTAAAATGAGAATTAAAGTCTTTCATTAAAACTGAACTCCAGGCTAAACAAATATAGTCGGTGTATATTCTTAATCCAATCCTGGCATCCTTGTTTTATTTCTTGCAGATTTGTGCAGTAATCCAGAATGAAACAGCTCTTGCATTTTGCTTCTATGCAGTAGATTCCATTAATAAAGACCGGTCACTGCTGTTCTCTCTCCTTGTGCAGGGTGACTGGTCTTGTCTCCGCCCCCTCCTGTAATAAAGACCGGTCGCTGCTGTCCTCTCTCATTGTGCAGGGTGACTAGTCTCGTCTCCACCCCTTCCTGTAATAAAGACCGGACACTGCTGTCCTCCCTCCTTGTGCAGGATGACTGGTCTCGTCTCCACCCCCTCCTGTAATAAAGACCGGTCACTGCTGTTCTCTCTCCTTGTGCAGGGTGACTGGTCTCGTCTCCACCCCCTCCTGTAATAAAGACCGGTCACTGCTGTTCTCTCTCCTTGTGCACGGTGACTGGTCTCGTCTCCACCCCCTCCTGTAATAAAGACCGGTCACTGCTGTCCTCCCTCCTTGTGCAGGATGACTGGTTTCGTCTCCACCCCCTCCTGTAATTAAGACTAGTCACTGCTGCCCTCTCCCCTTGTGCACTGTGACTGGTCTCGTCTCCGCCCCCTCCTGTAATAAAGACCGGTCGCTGCTGTCCTCTCTCATTGTGCAGGGTGACTAGTCTCGTCTCCACCCCCTCCTGTAATAAAGACCGGTCACTGCTGTCCTCCCTCCTTGTGCAGGATGACTGGTCTCGTCTCCATCCCCTCCTGTAATTAAGACTGGTCACTGCTGCCCTCTCCCCTTGTGCAGGGTGACTGGCCCTTCCTGTAGTGGAAAGGGGCCTGCTGAGATCCACACAAAGCTCTGCTCTCTACATAGGTAATATGCGGCACAGAGACAACGTCACCTCTAATTTCACAAGGCAATAGCTGGCTATGACAACTCACTTAGTGCATATTTAGGGCAGGTTCACACCATTTTCCAGACCAGATGTGGAATGCAGTGCATTGCGTTTTGCCATGTTTTTGCCGCGTTCCGGAGCTAAAATGGGCTTTTAGTGCATTCCAGTGCATTTTTTATGCGTTTCCATGCGTTCCAGACCAGACAAAATGAGACATGCAGTATTTTTCTGGTCTGGTCTGGTCTGGAACGGACTGCACTGGTGTGAATAGAGGCCAGAAATAGCACAGGGATACATTAGGATGCATTTTGAGTCCGGAAACAATCTGGTCTGGTCTAGCGAAGATCTGGATGTGGTGTGAATGGGCTCTAAATGGATTTAGATTTTCTGTGGCTGCTGAAGAATGTATTTAAATTAAAACTTTTCGCCTGGAGTTCAGATTTAAGTCCAGTATTGAGACGAAGGTGGTTAGGTTCAGGACCGGGGAAGGCTCAAAACTCAGTGGAGTTAAGGCCAATCAAGACCAACTGCACTGAAATGTACATGTGCAAATGTAATTCCAGACCAACAAAGCAATTCAGCAATTTTAAGCTCGAGTAGAGTGCACCTTAAAAATGAGATCCATCGTGCTTACACTCACCAGCAGTTCCCCAGCAGCCCTTGCAGTATGTCAGACGGTCGCGGCGTGCGAAAGACAGTCCACTTTATCCCGCGATCTTTGAGGGTGCAGTTGATCTCTTGAGGTCTAAGCCATTGCTTTACCCGCTGCTGGACGCTGTCCGACTCCGGAAAGCCAACAGAACGAGGCCCTGGGGGGAAGCTGTCATCCACAAAATTCACCCTGTTCTGGGATTGGAACAGCCAAGAGGACAACTGTCAAGAGGGGCCATGTTATATAGAGAGAGAGATTGGAGGAAATGAGTCGGAGAGGAAAGAGAATGAAGAGAAAGGGTTAGTAATGAGTGACAGGACCATCTCTGGAGAGTCACAGAGTGGTGTGCAATGAGCAGGAAATAAAGGCAGGAGCACCTGGGTCTACACACATAAGAGGATGAGCAGAGGGAGATGGATCTGGAAATACTCATAGCAGCAGAATAAAGGGATATAGAAGAGGAAAGAGCGTGCCACAGCACTGGGCTTATTAGCACATTAAGTAAATGCATATCAACAAAGAAAGGCTAAAAGAACATGTTATATACAGCTTAATAAAAGAACATACATATTAGTGACAACATGTTCATACTTCAGTCACTGCAGACCCTATTAACCAGCAAGTCTTAATGAACTGTCCTTACTACCACCTAACACACCAATCAGATTCAAACTCTCATTCTCCGTCATTTTCCAGTGCACGCTTGTATCTGATTGGTGGTTACAGGACAGCACAGGCAGTTCTTAGATAACATCATATATTAGGCTGTTAATTCTTTATTCCCCCCCGAGTATAGTTGTGCCCATAAAATGTTTCAGTTGTAGGTTAACAATAGATCATCTACAGGCTTCTCATAGGGACACCAGCAGTGAGGTCCCACCACCAATGCTTGGGTTCTGTGTTCTTAGGTAGTTTCAGGGCCCTTCATGGTTTTTTACCTCATCCAGGAACACGTAAAGCCCATGACCCCTTCCACATCATGCAGATTGGCTGCTGCTGTTATAAGGGTAAGGTCGGCTATACACCTATCAAATTTTTTCACTCAATCTGCGGGCTGAACGAAAAAAAAATTGATGCGATTCCTCCAACAATGCCGCTGGCACCCGTCAGAATACCCGATCAGAGCAGGCAGCTCATTGGCTGCTGGCTCTGATCATACGAAGATTTTCTAGCCAGCTCCTGATCGAGGATTGCCAGCTGAAAGGGAGCCCACAGCTCCACACACGGTGCAAATTTGGGCCGGTACATTTAAAAAAAAGGCTGAAATCCGGCCAGTGTGTGGGCACCTTAAGGTGGTCTGTGATGAGGTCACAGGGCAAAAAAATGCTGAAAATGTTGAAAATGGGACATTTAAGTGGAAAAAAAAGGGCGCAGCCTAGCTCTGGCAAAATGGAGAAACTTTAGAGATGAGCTCTGTACCAGCAAATCACTTAAAGGCAAACCAAGTGCTTATTACACGCACCAATGCAATGTTAAAAAGGGGGAACAATTCAGAGAAAGTCAAGGACAGGAAAACACTGACTTGAATTGCTTTTTTAACTCCCCAGGACTAAATACTTGAGCTGCCCAAGCAGACTAAATGGCACCCACATTCGGCTAAAAAGAACATGTGGACTCTGAACAGTCATTTCACAAAGACACGCCGCTGTCTTCCTCTCCTTTAGGAGGTAAGGACTAAGAGCATTCTCTCTGTTTTGCAGGCCCAAAGAACCACCAGCAAGAACTCAGACTTTCTTCACACAAAAGAAAGAGATAATGAGCAAGGCACGGTCCAAAGGAACTATCTCCTTCGATATGGTTGACATCAAGGCCCTGCAGGACTCTATGAGGCAACAACTCAAACGCGGAGGCAGAAAGAGCGGCGCACCCTTCAGCGTCCGGGACAACTCCAGGGTCTATTCCACCTCCCGCAAAGCGAGCCAATAAACCTCCCCAACTGGACAGCCGTAAAACCTTTGGGGGAAGGTTGTGCCCCTTGGTGTCTCATGGAGACTGCAATGTGGACCCCACCAACGTCCCCTCACTGTCTTACTGTGAATGTACCTGCACTTAGAAACCTAAAGTGTCTGCAAATGTGTAAGTGGGAGGGGGCAGGAAGCAGTGGAAAGGAAGTTCATTTCATGGATGAAAGTCCACTATAACAAGCCCTAACTAATAGGACCACCGTGCAGCCCAGTATACCATCATGTGTGCTTTCTATTGCTTGGTCACCTCCCCTTTAAGACAAAATGTCAGTTTCTATGGTGGAGATGGCCCTGCAGGGATGTCATTATTAAAAATTGGCAGAATGCTGAGCTCTGCTGCCATGTCCCTACACTTTACGAAAGATGGCTCCCCAACCATGGGCCCTCAGTAATATAACATAGACGGGTTGATGATGAGAGCAAAAAACCTCCCTACAGCATAGATACAGCACTACTTATTAACAGTGCATATCGTATTCAGTCTGTAGAGCGAGTCATCTCTATCTAACGCCAACAATTTTGAGATGCTCCCTCCAACCAGTGCTCTTCTGTTGCTATCCATGGCCACACTATATCATACTCATATAGCCCTATCTTTCTGGGGCACAAGCCATTGAGTTAGTACTCTCCCATAAGCCTGAGAGAGCTGGAAATTTCTATCAGGACAAGGCACCTAGAAACTGTTCTATACGGTTACTTCTTCACTGTTGTACTGCTTGATAGATTATTACACTACCTATACACTAATACATACCAGTCCATTTAAAGCCTTTTGTTACAGAAATGGGTCCCTTATACCCACTTTACTTATCGTTTACCATTATAATTCTCCCTTCCACCCTCCTACTCGGCTTGCCAATGAAACCCACACCGTTCCCTTTAATACATACATACACTGTGCTAGTTCTCCTCGTGTACCTCCGCTGCTATTTACCTTCACCTCACCTGGGGCTCAGTACTCGCACTCGCCCAAATACTCGGTATCAGCACCGATACTAGTATCGGCATTTGTGCATCCCTACTAAATATGATGGTTTATGGTTCTCTAAGTTTTTAATATATAGTTTGTATGTCTATGTTCATGTAAATAATAAATCAAGATTTTTTTAAATATGATGCAGGTGTTTTAATTGGCACGTAGAAAACCCCAATGTTTTAATATATTTATCAAACCTTTAGTTTTTTAGGGGTATGGTGCCTGGGTCACCTACCAATCCTATATTAGTCTTAATGCACTTACTGCTGCCTTCTGGGACATCAAAAGGGGCCTGATAACCGCAGGCAATTCTTATATATCTTATATATCGCCTAATGTTATCAGGCCCTGAACGGCCAAAGCCCTAATCCTTCACAATTTAAAATCTATATGATATGATGGGTGTTGGGTGACAAAGGTTTCTCCAATAAAGTCTGCCTCTTGCAGGCAATATGTTTCCACGTCAGCACTTAGTGATACAGCTGAACACCTCCCAGCATTCCTTCCATTGTAGGTGGACTTTAAATAGAAGCTATTGTGTCTTCCTGTACACCTGTCAGAGTCGCCGTGTCTAATGTGTTACTTATCCATCAGTGTCAGATTCACAATTGGTGTCAAGTTCAATTCCTGACACTGCCGTGTGAAACACCATTAGCAGCGCATAGCAAACCATCGGGACTCCATCGGCAATGTATGGAGCTGACCTTACCCCTAACCATGTGGACAGACCCAGCTGCACTTTGGAAGAACTAGAGTTCCGCTGCAACCTAATCACCCAGGGGTTAGGTTTTTTAAAAGAAGAACTCATTGAAAAAGCAGAAGGATATTTTAAAGAGCAACAGCTTAGGTAATAAGCAAAATCATTTCATGAGCTGCTAATGCTATCCAATGCATAATGCCATTTGGTTAAAGTGAGAAAGTCCACTGTACATAAAATTAGATTTCATATAAACTTCCCATGATTCTGCGGTCTAATTAAACATGGTTACCATGATGCAGGGAACGCAACATGGTGTGCAGGACACCAGCCAACCGACGTCCTGATTTTACGCAGGAGGACAGCTTGGCGAATTCAAGAACCATAAGGATGGACCAAGTCTAGACACAGGCCAGATGATCCCAGGTGGGACTCTGATGGTCGGAGTTGGGAATGCCTGGCTTCTAGACTTCCAGGCTGAGAACTAGGTATGCATAGGACACCAGGGCGCTGACCGGATGATTTTACACAAAAAGGCCAATTTGGTAACTGAGAACATTTTTCCTTTTATTTTCAGATAGAGAATAGCAGGTTTACAACCCGTGACAGGTTTTTATTGCTGTCTGTGAGTTGCTGGGTAGATTAACTCTCTCTATATCTGTCCTGGTGACCGTTGTCCCTGAGACAGAAAGGTATTGGAAATCCAAAAATAGAACACTAGGTGAGGGGAAATCTGCAAATGGGGACAGCTGTTCTTATAAGAGCTGCCAAAGAGGGGAATTTCCCTCAGTTTATAGAGATTTCCTCCCACTTCCTGATACAGGAAGTGAAGGAAAACCTCCTCAATGGAGTACAGACAGCAACATTTTAACTCCTCCCTATTACTCTATTCAAAAGCAGAAAATGTGTTTTGGTAATATATAAACTTTAAGCATCACCAGAATGGACCAAACGTTCAGCCATAGGCTTTGTCCCCTTGTATTTGCATGTTAACATCTCAATTTTCACTGTTAAAAGTGAAAAAAAAAAGGAAAGAACTCCTTTCAACCAGTCAACAACCGGACCTGAACCGGAGGGAACATGGAGACTACCATTGCGGTCATCTCCTTAGTTGTCTAGCTGTCATGCTGATCCAAAACCTTTAGCATGTTCTCATTTACTGAGCAGGGAATAAACCTGAAAGGCCAGGATTTCAGACTTCACTCAAGACTATACTAGCTGCATACCTGTCCACAGCCAGGCAACTAGCATGTCCAGGTAGGAAGTTAACAATTATCACCTTCACCTTTGCAATGGCAGCAATGGTAGAGCTCCTGTAGGTGCACAGCAGGAAATGTTCCTATCGCATTATGGTTCATTATTTTCCTTCCTGGTTTGGACCAGTTCTGCAACGAGTCATTTTCTTGTGTGTATACATTTCAGCTTGAGCTATTGAGCTCTCTAAACAACAGGCTTTTAACAGCAAAGGAGCAAATGAATTAGAGGAACTCTTGAAAAGGTGCCCAAAGTGCCACCTGCTGGCTAATATTGAGAATACAAAATGTGTTAAATATAAGCTGTCCCTATAAAAGGGAGCCTGAGGCTGTTACCTTAGGTGGCGTCTCTTTGGAGCACAGCAGCATAGCTGCTTTACTGCACAGTATTTGCAGTGGCCTGCCGCCCCTTTTCTGGTCAGAGTGTCCAAGGTTGCTAAGAGACACACAGGAAGGATGCTCTGGCCGGCATCCCGCCCAGGTCCTGGCAACCAGTGACATCACTGGTTGTCAGGAGCTGGAGGCGGAGGGCGGAGAACGTCGACCCGGGTGGGTAGATGCAGAGCCTGTGTGTCACTTCACCACCGCCACCCTGTTCCCATCCCCTGGCCATCTCGGGCAGCAGGAAGGCTAGGGACACCACTGGCACTGCATATTAGCTTTTCTTGTAAAATAAGGAAAAGTAGCAAATGGATGAATTGTTTGTATTCAGTGATAAAGCTGTGGACCTGGCAGTCAATGGGACTGATCATTGTGACGAGACCCATGGATTAAGAAATCCCGATGTAAACAGACCGGATTAATTCTGTATATAAACAGCTTGGCAGACAGAGATCTGTGCTCGTCAGCCATACCAAGGTCTCCAAGGGACACAGCGGATGAGACGCATCAATCACTACGAGATTGCCTGATCATCAGACGATAAAACCATTGTTATGTATTAATTCTCAGACAAGCATTTAATGCTATACACCCCGGAGGATCATTCCTGCCTAGACAGCAAGCATTCCACGGTGCCGAGAGACGGCACAGGAGCTGCTGGACCAGATTCTGCCATCCACCTTGTAGAAATAAATGCCTTCATTTAATCTCACGATTTTAGTTACTACATTTCAAAATGAACTTGAGGCAAACAGCCAAACACACCGATAAAATGAATACGGGATATGGGAGCTGTGTTACCTGTGAAAATGTTCTACTTCTGTCCATCCAGTTTTGAGATTTACACAGCTGTGTGACAGAGCAAAGCCCTGTGTGGCACAGCAGGAGACCTGATTTCTCTCTGCTGCAGTTAAATAACTCTTACAGGTCTTGTCCTTCCCCCAGCCTGTGATTGGACAGTAAGTGGAGACGCAGCAGACTGATACAACTTGATTATTAGCTTATGATGAGGCAGCTCAAAGACGCATAGTCTCCAATAGGAGGTACTGGAAGCAAGTCAGGCACAAAACAGAAGAGCGCCACCAAAACACGTTAGCGTACAAAATAAAGGATAAAGGGTTATTAAACCCTCAGCGGTTTTTGCATATATCTACTGCTAGCGAGCAGTAGATATATGCAAAAACATTTTTTTTAAAAACCTTTCAAAAAGGCTTTAAAAACATACCCATGCCTCCGCCGCGCCCTCCCGTCCGAACATCTGCAGAGTCTCTGGCGGCCGCAAAGGATCTTGGTGATGAGGGAGCATGGAGCTGGCTTCCTGGCCATTTAGGAAGCCGGGCAGTGAGTAATGACTCACCGTCTGGCTTTCTGATTGGTTGGAAGGCCGGACAATCAGGAAGCCAGACGGTGAGTGTTTATCCTTACCCTCGGCTTCCTGATTGGCCAGAAAGCCAGCTCCATGCTCACCTGGTGACGAGGGAGCATGGAGACGGCTTCCCTGCTAATCGGAAGCCGGGTGGCGAGTAATTACACACCGCCCGGCTTCCGGGCTAATTCCTTAATGGGACTTCCAGTATTGATATTCTGTATCGGTGAGTACCGGAAAAAAATATTGGTACTCATACTCGATACCGAAAAGGGTATCGGTACATCCCTAGTTCTCGCCAAAAATAATGTATGGGGCGAGCAGTGCGCTTGCACAGTGAACACATGATCTAGGTAGGACTATGTAAAATGAAGGTTGTATGGTACCCGGTCAGTGATCTCTAGAGCAGGGATGAAGGTAAGTATTTCACATGGTTACGGTGAAGGTGGCCATTACAGGACGTATCCTTTAAGGATGCAGTACAAATTTGAACTGTTTGGTCCCTGAGATTACCAGGCTTCTGAGATATGTGAAATGCCTTATATACATATACTGGCCATAAAGAATTTTTAATTTTTTTTAATAAAACTTGTAGTTTTATCAAAACAAAGTAGTTCCATTCTACTTAGTGGAATTGACATTTTATAAAATGGAGATAGGAGGTGCCAAACTGGCATAAGGTAAGATAACGCATTATATGAAGTTTAAAAAAAAAATTCTAAAACAAGATGAAGCTCACCTCTTTACAAAAGATGACAATATTCTCCCAAAGCTCCTTGGCCTCGCCCTCATCTGTCTGCCTTCGTATCTCTGCCCTGACACTCTCTCTGCGCCGCAGCATCCTCCCTCCTCGCTTGTGGTGTTGTGCCAAGTATCCCTGTGGCGTGTGGCAAGCCACACAGTGCGTGGATCGAGTCTCATTTAAGAGGGTACACGCCGGGCAGGCCCACTCTGCCCTACGGGGAGCTGGTATGGTAATCACTCCTGAGCTGGAGGGTGACGGTAGTCCCTCAGTTCCAGTTGAACCATTAAGACCCTCATTTGCCCGCACTGCACCGCAGACTCGACACCTGCTGGCCCCGCTGAGATTACGAAAAGTGCATTTCCCACATGGCCAGTTGGTGTCGGGACTTTGTGGATCAGCAATTGATGGAGTTGTTTCAGCTACCGGTGCTTCCTCTTCCAAGACACTCAGGCGTTTAGGAAGGCGGCTCGGGACGGAAGGAGGAGAGAGCGGGTTATCTGGTGCTACTTCCCTCCGACTTCTTGGAACGGGAATATTATGTGGTCCAGGCGACAGTGGCAGTGACGGTAGCGGTCTGGGAGAATCTGGTTCACGAAGAGGACCTGAGGCTTGTTCATCTGCGCCAGGAAATGCAGCAGGAAGTGGGACAACCTCAGGGACCACAAGCGCCTCTGGCGGGATTTTAGGCAAGGACAATTTGCGTGGCCCACCGCAGGCAGAGCAGGAACTTGACACAGGAGTGTTAACCAGAGTGCAGCGTGGGCAACTCCAACCAATAGCTGGTAAAGTTGGCAGGCTAGGAGGAGTAATGTCTTCAACTTCTGGCTCCTCGGCGGGAGATCCTGCATCCTCATTAGGTCCACGTGAGATGCCATTGGGAACGGCCGCAGGTGGAAGGAACCCACAAAGCTGGCAACCTGCTGAAGGCGGAGATGGGTTGACGGGAGCAAGGTTGGAGAAGGTGCAGCGGCTGCAGGACCAGTGTTGCTCGGCCGAGCTGAGCCGCAGGATGTGGTTCAGGTCCGGCAGGTGGCGTGGAGCTTCGCAGATGGAGCAATGTCGCTGCCCCTGGGGATTCAGGAAGGTGCAGCGGCAGCATGACCACTCCCCACAGGAAGAGGGGGCAGCCATAGGGACTGGAAGCCTAAAGGAGAGAAAGGAGAAAAGCCGGTAAGCTGAAAAGTAAAAGGAGATGGCAGGCATATAAACTCACACAGGTACATAGACTTAGACTTCAATAAAACTGTAAAAAGCAAACAAGAATACAAAGCGTAGTTAGGGTAGACTATCACAGCAAACTATTTACAAGCTGTAAAAACCAAATTAAATGCTGATTACAACAATCAGTCCATAAAAGTGAAACTTCTGACACAACTTTCCTTTCTATTGTAGAGGAGGGAACGGTTAGAAACTCGGGTTTTTATTGTTATTGGTGTCCCATGACGGCTGTAAAGTAATACAAATCTGATCGGGGTTCTAACCTTTCCCCACTTTAGCCAGAACAAGTAAAATGTTTTTGCTGGAGCTCCACATTACATTAAACCTCCTCTAAACAGAAAAAAAAAGTTATCGTTTATAATTGCTTTGATTAGCTATATATAAAAGGCATTTCATTGTTTTCTGTTTGTGAAGCTGGAAAGAAAGCTCACGAGCCATCTAAAATATAAATTAAACCCCCGTGTAAAATGTAACCATTGAAAAAGATGAATGTGTAAAAGTATCACAAATCTTTACAAATAAAAGTTTGCTTGTAAAACGTACTTTTTTGCCTCTAGATATTATTTGCGCACCGTGATTCTGACTTCCTTATACTTTCTGAAGTACAACTAAAGATTCCTGTATGACAGTCTAAACAAGTAATGAATCCAGTTACCATGTGATAGACGAGCCTCAAAAAGTAAACAAAAAACACTTCCTTTACGTTCTCTGACTGAGCCAAGTCCTCCTTCACTTGTGTCTCACACATGCCCCCAACCAGGCACTGCGGCTCACAGTGAGAGGGTTTCAGCAGCAGCAGAGGCAGCGCTGTCAATCTGGAAAGCAGTGGGTGGGACTAAGTGTGGTCGGGTGCTGATTGACATGCTACAGGCTTAGGAATCAGCAGTAACAATGCTGATTACCACATAACCCTTAGCACATCAACTCTTCCCACTGTAGTGGAAAGCAGACACAGCCTACCTGAGAGTGGCAACTCTCTGAATCCAGGAGCAGTGCAGTGCAGCAGTGTTGCCACCCCATCACAGGAAGATGCATTAGGTAGACTTCACTAGCAAGCTTAACAGGTATTTATGGGACTTTGCAGGGGGACCAGCCGAAAAATGAAAGTGCAGATGTACTCATAATTACAGGCTGCAACACTTTTTTTTTACAGGGGAAGCCATAGTTCCACTGTAAGTGCTATACTACCTGTGCTATACCATCCCATGAAGCTTAACACTTTACAATACATGTCTCTTCCTGAGGCTAGGTTCACACCTAGGCTACACCTCACCATGTGGCAATCGTGCACAATTCCGCGCGGATGGCCGCGTGGTCAGGAGTCGCCAAGGGGTGGACCGATCGAGCTGTGGGTGTCATTATTTTCTAATGGCACCCCAGTCGCGCTGGGAGGATTGCCTGGTTTCCCGCCGCGATGCCGCCCATGCTTCCGAACATGCTAAAACAGCCGTGTTTCGTGTATTGCAACAAAAAAAAGGTACAGGTACCTTTTTTCTGCAATTGCTGCGCGGATGTCACCCCATTGCAATCAATGGGGCCGCGCGGCAATTGTTGTGTGCACCTGAACACGATCGCACGTCCCGGGTGTCGTGCGGTGTAGTGCAGGTGTGCTCTTAGCCTCAGAGTGATACAGTTTCTGCTGGGAACAGAAGGAGTGGGTGAAAGTGGAGGACATCCCTGCAGTCTGCACGTGTTGGCGCGTTGTGCATTGGCACATACGACTGTAGTCCTGAACAAGAACATGCAGTTTAAGGTTGCTGCGCCTTCAGGGCTTTCACTGGTTCCTCTGGCTGACCTTCACTCAAAGTACACAGCAGTGACATGGTGGCGAGCAGGAGGAATCAGAGAGAGCTGGGGGGGACCCAGGAGATTGACACTCCTGGAACTGTCAACTTTAAATATCTACTTAAGGGCGAGATCTTTCCCTGCAGGGGAGAGGCGAGTATTTACAGTGTTCTTTTACAGTTACGCCTTCCCTGCAGAGCTTTACAGATAGGATTGCTTTACAGTTTGTTTAGCATTTGTAGGACTGTTCGTGACAATGGGACCAAATGGGTGGATGTTTGAATGCAATAGGACAGGGGTCAGCAACCTTAAACACTCAAAGAGCCATTTGGACACGTTTCCCACAGAAAAGAAAAGACCGGGAGCCACAAAACCCCTTTGACATCTAAAATGAGATAACACTGCATATATAGTTTTTTACCTTTATGCTATGTATAGCATGTATATAGGTATATGTGGGCTTAGTAACGCACTGGACTCTGGGCTTAGTAACCCACTGGGCCCTGGGCTTAGTAACCCACTGGGCCCTGGGCTTAGTAACGCACTGGGCTTACCTGAGACCCCGCAGAGCTCACCTGTGAGTGACCCTGCAGAGCACACCATAGATCCTGCACAGCCCATCTGAGGCTTTCTATGGTTGGCTCTGCAGGGCCTCAGGTGGGCTGGTCGCCGGGGTCCCTTTCCCTCTACCTCCTCCCAACTCCTATCGCCCAGTTTATGGGCGGTGGAATGTGTGACCGCCAATAGGTAAAGCATTTCAACGCTTTCTCAGCAAGGCCCCTTCGGTAGTTCCGCCCCTGGACAGGGAGCCGCAGCAGAGGGATGAAAGAGCCACATGCGGCTCCGGAGCCGCAGGTTGCTGACCCCTGCAATAGGAGATATAATAGTGGTCAGTTCAGATGTAACTGGTGCTTAATAGTCGTGATTTAGGGTGCTGCCTTCATATGACCATTAATAATTATAGAATAAGAATAGTAGAGCATACAATTGGGACAATATACAGTATATAAGAGGGTTGCGTTACCTGCACTGGATTTGTATATCTTTCTGTCGAGTCCTGAGATTTACACAGCCCTTTCCAACAGTAGTGCCAGATGGAGCAAAAAATCTTAGACACCAACAACTAGAAAAAAAACCTCAAAATTTGGGAGCCAGCTGCAGGAGCATTGCCTACCTGGCTCCTGGGATTTGTCCAGCCCCGAGTTAAGAAATGCAGCTAGGTCACCACTCTGCCCCCACCCTCAGGATTAGACAATGAAGGAGCCACAGCAGACTGATGAGGCCTCCTCTGCTCTCTCAGCATGTTCCTTGACAGCACTTGTGCATACAGCAGAGCCCGTCTAACCCAACGTTCCAATCCCACCAAACCACATTCAAGGATAAACTGCATTTAAAAATACATTTCATGATCTTCTTGAATATATAACTGCATTCTCAGGTGTTATTTAAGCCGGAGCTCAGCTTTAACCTTCTGAGATCTGACACAATGACTGCATCTGAGTGAAGTTCCTCGAGGGTCCGCTTTATCACTACCATGCATTCATGAGCACTTCTGATTACTAGAAGTCCTTGTTGGAAAATTCTGTCATCGTTAAGCAGCTGTTCCCTTTCTCCCTAGATAAGCAAAGACGTTCACCGCCCGAGAACCGCTAGACACCATTGGCCTAAGCGGGGAGGAAATTCACAATGCGTGACGCCATCGTCTCTGCCGCTTGCCCTTGGTGAGAGAGCTGCCTGTGCGTGGCTTTCCTAACCTATCACATTTTACATTTCCAAAGCCAGTTAAAAGGTGACTATGATTTACAATGCTTTTTACCTTGGCGCACTAAACCAAAAACGCGAGTCAAACATTAGTATGCCTCCGTTATATGGGAGGTTCCATTTCCTCCTCTTCTCTGAAAGTTGTTAGTCATAAAGATAAAACAGAGAGATAAATAGAAATCATTTCTGACAAACCAATGAGTCCCAAAAGATCTCAGTCAGAGCAAAAACGCTAAAAGGCAAACAGTATTAGTCTTCTAAATTGGAACACCAGGAGTGATCTTTAAAGCCCATTTCAGGCCCAAAAAAAACACAACTTACCCTTGCAGTGCGGCTAGTCTGGTTCTGCAAGGATGAGGTACTCATTTTGTGTAGGAGACATTATTCTGTTTTACTTACCTGACCCTCAGTCCCACTGGCTCCCTCTGGGCTGCTAGACCGGTCCCCGCAGCCGCTAGTCCCCTGGGCTCCAGTCCTCTACAAACCACTGATGTCATCACGCCTTATGCAGGTCCATTTATCGGCATTAGACATGAGGACGGCGAAGTACATTCCACATACGGAGCGGAGGGTGAGAGAAGTGAGCCGGGATCTGGTAAGTAAAACAGTGTTGTAGCCCCTAGAAAAAACAAGCATTCAACCCCTGCAGTGCAGGGGTAGTCCCACTGGAAACCTTTTCTTTGGAGATGGGCTTTTATGGGTACTTCCATTGGTCCTGCTTGGGTCCATGCAAATTTAGGGATACTTCCATTGGTCCTGCTTGGCTCGATGGAAATGTATGGGTACTTCCATTGGTCTAGCTTGGATCAATGCAGGTTTATGGATACTTACATTGGTCCAGCTTGGCTTCATGCAAGTTTATGGATACATACATTGGTCCAGCTTGGCTCCAGGCACGTTTATGGATACTTACCTTGGACATACTTACATTGGTCAAGCTTGGCTTCATGCAAGTTTATGGATACATACATTGGTCCAGCTTGGCTCCATGCAGGTTTATGCATACTTACATTGGTCCAGCTTGGCTCCATGCAAGTTTATGGATACTTACATTGGTCCAGCTTGGCTCCATGCAGGTTTATGCATACTTACATTGGTCAAGCTTGGCATCATGCAGGTTTATGGATACTTACATTGGTCCAGCTTGGCTTCATGCAAGTTTATGGATACTTACATTGGTCCAGCTTGGATCGATGCAAGTTTATGGATACTTACATTAGTCCAGCTTGGCTCCATGCAGGTTTATGGATAATTAAATTAGTTCAGCTTGGATCGATGCAAGTTTATGGATACTTACATTGGTCCAGCTTGGCTCCATATAAGTTTGCATATCTGATATCTGGAGGGCCATCGGGGATGCTGAAAATCACTGCAGAAGCC